ATGTGTTCAGTTCTCTTGCTCTGGCTGGTCAAAAAAATTTTATCTGTGCTGAAAACTGAGTCAACTGAGGCATCATCAATTTGTTTAAGAAAAGCAACAGAGGAAAGAAATCGCTGTGCGGAATAATGACTCTAAAATGAATCTCATCGATGTGGGCTCACCGGATCATTGGTGCTCGTTTTCCGATAGAACATCTTCTGCACCGATAACACAGACCTCGATTTTGCTAAAACAAAGCAGCAAGAAATTACACGCATATACAAAAAAACCAGCAAATACTACTATAATGAACTCACCAACTTGGGGATTTGTCCGGACGGCTGCCCATCGCAACAAACCGATCAGTGGACACGCATTCATTGCAGCTATCTGCGAAAACAAATTCTACAAACATTGAAGCAGCACTTAATACGCATAGAGCGGAAACGAACGCGAAATGAAGATAAATGGATATGCGAGATAGTACAGAAATAAAAGAAACACTGGCTTAGCTGTTAAAATGGGTAGCTGTAGTAGCTTTTCTAAGTGTCGTATAGCCGCAACAATGCTCAGGATGAATTACGTTGAACATACACTAAGGATATCCTAAGGCCAATGAATCACTGTTAAGTAAATGCGTCGAGAAAAACACTCCTTTCAAATGGCGAAACGAATTTCAGGAACTAGCATTTCGGTCGTCCGGCATTGGTCAAAGCAACTGAGGAATTTGACAATTGCACAGACGGAAAAACATGTACTGCATGAACATCCTACGCAGTAACTGGGCAGACCGAATCCGAATAAGCAGTGTCATAAAACATTGTACTAGACTGTGAGAATTTTAGTTGCTTAAATTTCCTAAAATTCATGAAATGAAAAAATTAAATATCATAACCAACTCAAGGCTAACTTTTTCTGCGCTCTTTACATGTCGTTTTAAACATAAACTTCCATTTCCATTATTTCTTTTATGCGGAAAGCAAGATATCAAAGCAAAATTTTCGGCTAATCGAGTTTTATCAACTCAAGTCTGACTTGCTGGGCGACAGTAAGAGCTCGAAATACCAACGAAGTTCATAGCAAAGAGAATTTCGATAAAATCAAAGGAAATGATTCGTTTTCCAAACAAACAAAGTATCTGCTACGTATGATACCTCGATTTCAACCCAACTCGATGAAGCATGATTGATCGCATTGTAAACACATGTACAGTGCAAAAACTGTTCCAAATATTTTTATAACATTTCTTTAATTCATCACTGCCAACAACATTATCAGTAAACTGCATCACCAAACTGAATATTATTTTTAACGGCCCCATCAAATTCCATTCGTAACATAGCAAATTTTAGTAAAAACAAATGACGCTGAATTACTGCTGCTTTTCAGTTGGAAAGTGTATTCAGTTCAGCGCCATTACTTTATACAATCGCAAGTGAGACACACAGACGCAAAGGCTTCAATCCTCAATCTTCTTCTTTTATATTTAGCCTGTTCGATGAGCCATCACTGCGTACTGAAAATCACCGCTGTTTTCATAATTTGCCATATCCAGTGCCACTTCACAACTTTCTCGAACAACGCGCTAAAATCAACATAAATTTTACTATCAATCATCGGTTTACCAAGAAGTTACTGCGAATGGCAACTATGCAGGTTATTTACTTCAGAAGTCGCAACGAATATCAACTGTGCTACTCGGCTGGCACAAGAAGAAGCAGCACTGGTCAAAACAACTGGGACAACAACCAGCTGCATGGCAAGTTTCCGAACTGAAAACAACACTGATATTCTAAGCATTTTCAACCATCAGCGCTCAAAAAACCTAAGTCTGTTTAATGAAATTGAGGAAAAAAAATTTAGTAGAATCACAAACAACAATTCTAAGTTTTCAAAAAAGTTTGGCAAAATTCCTTCCGGTACAGTACTGCTGAGAACACTCCAAACATAAAGGGCTACAACTAATAAAACCACCCTGTTTTTCATTCGACCAATGTGTACAATTCGTTACTCAGAATGATAAATCACAAGCGAATGTGCCTCAGTTCTCGACAATTCTTGAAACGACCGACAGTGAAGAATCCCTGTTGTGACGACAATTAATCCTATGTCTTTTTCGAATATTATGACAAAATGAATGTGAATCCAGCGGCTACCTCTGAGTCGGTTCGATACTTCTTCAGCACTTCCATGCATTCCTCTGTTGCTATAGCTCCCAGTGCTTCGGCGCATTCGTGCCGTACCATATGATTTTCTTCTGCATTTTCCAGCAAACATTTCAGGTCCTCGACTGCCACTGGTGACTGAGCTTGTCCTAAGGCATACGCAACCTCATGGCGGAGCAAGGCACTGTCAGTGCAACTCAGTCCTGAAAAATACTAAAGTTCAACTAATCACTTGAAGGTTCAAAGTAAAAGCAAGAAAAAAACTTAGCTGCCAGTAGCCAAGTAAAAAATGAAAGGCCCAAACTGCTAAATAATCATTTTTCTCCTCATGGAAAACTGCCTGTGGTATTCATTTGATATTCTACATTAGCAGTGGTAAGCAATACGCCACATTTTTTCGAACAATCGTTGAAAATGGAAAAACCCAAAAAAAAAAAAAAAAAACGTCAGGAATAAATTTGTTCTAAGCAAAAGCATAGTGTTACAGGAGTTCACCAAGACGATTCTCATACGACTTTTGCATACTTTTTTTCTCCTTCACTTTTATCATTTTCTTCACTTTTATGACTAAATGGGCACACCTGTTGCTCGAAATTCCGGGAAATCAAGAAACAATGTTTGAAAAAGTTCTCCAAAAATAAAAAGCACAATCTGATTTCAAAATGATCAATCCTACTGGGTAGACAACTTCAAAGATTACCGATGACACTGATTCCGGCTATTTGATTTCCATAAAATGTAAGGGAGGGAATTTCAAGAAAGCTAAACTGGTGCATCAGTGACGAACTGTTCCATTGCATTATTCCTCCAAAAAACCTTTTCTTTTACTTGGAGAAGAAAGTGTGAGTCAACAGTACAAATAAAATTAAATATTAGAGAAGTACACTGAAACAATTAAATAAAAACCGTATTGTTTTAACCTTTTGCAAGCGCTTTTATGGATTCATCAGTGCTTAGATTACGAAGACTAAACAGCGCTTGGTACCGCTCCCACAAAGTTTTTTTTGGATCTGTTAACGTCCAAGCAAGAAGATCAACGTTGGTTTCTGCTGCTGCTGGTGTTGGATCTGCAAAATGCATGTACACAATAGAGCCAAACTTGGGCTTTCTCCGAACTCAGCCTCTTTCTACGTAAAAGATATTTTCAGTTAAGACAATTGGTTTTTGAGAAGAGATCCGATTGCAGCTGTGTGCATGGCGTGGAAGCCTCTTCTAACTCGAGAAGAAAGCAGTTGCCAAAGCCTCGAGAACAACAGCCATAACTTGCACTCTTATCCCTACAGTACCGTGCATTTATTCATCAAACTGGACATACATTCATGCTTTTCGCTTAAAAAACAGAATGATTTCTAGTGTATGCGAAATTGCAATTTTTGAAAAAAGCCGTGCAGCAGCCCACAAATCAAGGTCGAAACTGATGGGAAGCATAACGCACCGCTGGATCTTCAGCATATATACACGCGTAATGGTATTTAACCTCCTTACTGTACGATCGACCTGCGTCAGTCAAATGCATAACTTATGTGCCTCGCTGTTTGAATGACTGTTTTCATGGTTAATTTCTTTTGAAAGTACAGAGATTTTTCTTTTGGCAGCAGCACATTTTCAGAGTTCGCCTAGGCCAGCGCGAGAAGCAACTTCTCTCCGTTTCTTTTATTCGTTTAAGTGGTAATTATTAGTGGCACTCGCCATCAGCCTTTTTCTAAGCAATCCTTGAAAGATGGAATCATCGAAAGATTCCCGTGATTGCCAGCACTCGAGCTAATCCCGTATGCCCCGCTTCACGTAGAAAGTAAATATCGATAGGATTTTCACTTTCTTATTCAGACATTCAGTGCACATTTGTTTAGTAACTTTTGCATTTCGAAAAAGGAAGGTGCATTAATAGACGTAATGAGAATTTTCAGGTTCTCGGTGAATAAATCATTTTTTCAACCAAATTTTACCAAATGGCCGAGAAACGATAACCGACGATATGCACGAACTGCGACGTTAGGTTACGATGACGTTGCACTCAACACTTCCTGTGTTCTTGGTCGTTACACTGGTGCAAAAAAAAAAACGAAAATTAGTCAGCTGCATCATCAGAAACCAATTTAAATTCTGGATCTACAGATAGCACTACAAGGTCAAACCTCAATTTGAAAATCTCTTTTCACTTACCCACCGAATTATATGGACTTTTTTCAAGTGCTCTGTCATCCATTTTGCAATCTTGTAACCACTGTATCCTTTGCACAGCTAGCTGGCACGTTTCTGAGATCACTTGATTTTTGTCTTTTACGTACCGCTCAAGCACAGGGATTGAAGAGGGCAAGCCAATTGCTCCTAGTGCTTCACCGGCTTCGTGACGCACAATAGTTTCTGGAAGAAAGTGAAGAAGTTTGTTCGTCAAAATAATTTTCTGCAACAATTTAATAAGAGATAAGTAATTCTATTAAAAACCTAACTCATAACAGTTTCTGATGGATGCCCATACCAATACTTTGAGAAAAAACGTCTGAAGTTAACTTTTAAAAGGGAAAGAATTTTGAATTTTACCAGTACAGTAAATTTCAGTTCTGAGTTTCAATCACATAGTTAAAATACGTTTTGTAAGCGCAAAGAGTGAGAAAACTCTGGCCCTTAACTTTCTGAATGGGAGTGTAATTCACGGCAACCGATCAGCTAAGGAAAATATACAGTCAGTGAAGGGAGAAAGGATTACACCACGAAGGCATAGTAAGTCAAGAAATGAGCAGAAAGGGTTAAAAAATTTTTGGGAACTATGAAAATTCTCAGAGTGACAGAGAGTAGCGCCCACTGTGTCAGACTACTTCATCAGAGGCCTCAGCACTATAAAATGTTTCATCTGATCCAACGCATCATTGCATTATCAGTGTATATTGCAATTTTTTCTCATAACTGCATAAAAGCGCAAACAACGCAATAATACACTTGTGCGAGCGATTTTCCCCAAATCTAGCGGCACTTCGGACAAATCTAATATTCAGCTTCATACAGGATTTTATTGTACCCTAAACACAGAAATACCATAAGTCGGCACTACGAAATAATACTGCGGTGTCGCTTGTAAACAGGTATCAAAACCAATCTGCTTGCAATCCCTACGAAATGAGGAAATTACTTGCTAAATTTACTGCAATATGGGCTAGTAGCTGAACTAGAAAAATGTTGATTCACTAACGAAACTATGCCTATTCTCAGCCTTAATCGTGATAAACTGTGATCTGTGAAAATGGCGAAACAATTAGACAAGCGAACAAAAACAAGGGATAATTGTTGAGAAATAATGCTAAAAGTCACAAGGCAATTTATTTCCATTTAAAAGTGAGAAACATGCCTTGACGGTCGTCTTGAAGAACAGCTTCGAGGATCGGCACAGCTGAGGGATTCCGAGTCTGGCCAAGACAGTAGGCCAGTTCATGTTTGAGCAACGCTGAGGAGTCATTGAAGCAGCGCCCGATCCACTGCACTGACTGATCGCAGCCAAGGTTACGAAGCGTGAAGAGGGCACGAAAACGCACACAAAGCGAGCATCTGCAACGCAAAAAATTTGCGCTCTCATTTATCCAATACATTTAATAATTCGCCATTTTCTGCCACTTTTCTGTGGCACTTAAATGTATTCAGGCTCTATGTAATGGCAATTCGGCTTGGAATTTTTAAACCGTTTAAAGCTCTCAATTTTATGCTACCACAACAACATTTGGGGCAGCTGTAACTCACACCCTATTCCTCCATCTGGGCAGGCACTTCTTTAGCATTTTTTAGCACTGTATAATGGTCGGCCGGCTGGTGATTCTGACGTTCGTTTCGTTTTCTGAATAGATCATCAGTTTAGCAGTTCCCTCGTCGAAAGTACCCGGCAAAACTCTAGCAGTTTCAAAATGATGTTGTTTAACCTCATTTCGAATGGTACCGCCCCTATAGCATGATGAGGTAGGTATCATACTATGAATCATACTCAAACATAAATCATAATTTGCATAAACACATGATCACCCACCATCTAGAACGGACGGGATAATCATAATTTTACGCAATTAATCAGCACTAAATTAAAAAGTTACATTAAGACAGAAATAATCGGCCAACGAACGGGCTGCCCGTGCGAAGATGCGTTTTTTGCACAGCTCTTCGCAGAATTTTGCCGTTAACGGCACTGGTTTTTCCGGCAGATGCTTCTAGCTAAAAGAATTTCATCCTGGCCGCCGGAACTGTCAGGAAACATCTCCTCAAAATTCCAGTCCTCTAGCTTCTCACACCCACGAGTTAGCAACTTACCCGGAAAAAACTTTCACGGGCTCGTACGCAGGTACCACGCTTAGCCGCGAGCAAGGTTTGAACTCGTTAATACCCACTTGGACAGGGAACATCCCCCTAAGATTTCAGCGTTCTAGCTTC